TAGGAAATTTTTTTGTTTTCTGCAACGTTTCCCAACAGTATCAACCAAGGATCCCTCAACGCTCCTCTCGGAGGGTTGCATGAGAGCAGGATCAAGTTGCTTTCGGGCCGAAGTGCCATCCTTAGTTTTGTCTATTTCCTCGCCACCACCTTTATGTAATAATGCCATTTGTATCCCCTCGGACATTATTACTTGAAATAGAGTGCAATGGTTTCTCTAGAAAAATAAGACCCTGATAAGTGTCACATGTGTGGCATGAACACATAGCAACTCCAAATGTTTGTGATGGCAAATTTAGTGATGTGAGGATGACAACTTAGTTGTCAAGCATGACAATTTTTTATTTGTATGTCAAGTTCTAGTTTTGTTTTTTTTATTGTTTTTCATTTTCGGACGACAACTTTGGTTATAAAAACGTCAGAGCCGGAGTGCTTCTTGTCACTCATGTGACACTTATTATTTGGGAAAAAATAACGATAAAAACATGTTCTGAAAAATAACAAAAAAGGAAAAATGTGAGCGTTGTGATTTTCTTTGTTTTGAAGGAGGAGCCCTAGGTGTGTGAAGGCAACGGCGAGTCGTGCTGGGCCGCGACACCTACTTGTGCATACGCATAAATCCATTTGTAGCCTCATCTTCTCGAAAAACAAATTTTCCGCCAGGGAGCATAACATTCCTATAATAACATAAAAAAACAATGGCACTCCAAAAAGTTGAAACAAATTACCATACCTACTGAAAATGCGTCTATAACGTTACTTCCAAAAAGTTGAAACAAGTTACAACTTCAAAAAACAAATTTTCCGTCAGGGAGCATAACATTCCTAAAAAGGCCGCGACACCTACTTGTGCATACGCATAAATCCATTTGTAGCCTCATCTTCTCGAAAAACAAATTTTCCGCCAGGGAGCATAACATTCCTATAATAACATAAAAAAACAATGGCACTCCAAAAAGTTGAAACAAATTACCATACCTACTGAAAATGCGTCTATAACGTTACTCCAAAAAGTTGAAACAAGTTACAACTTCAAAAAACAAATTTTCCGTCAGGGAGCATAACATTCCTATAATAACATAAAAAAAACAGTGGCACTCCAAAAAGTTGAAACAAGTTACCGTACCTACTGAAAATGCGTATATAACATTACTCTAAAAAGTTGAAACAAGTTACAACTGAAAATGCGTGTGCAGGGAGTTGAACCCGGGTCTATTGCTTGGAAGCCAATTATCCTAACCATTGGACTACAGACGCATTGATGTTTAAATTTCAGATGAAACACCTTAAAATCTCATTGATATTTTCTTTCTACCCCACCACCATAAATTAGCAAATCCACCCACGCTTACAGAATGCGCACCGGAAAAGTTAGCAAGAACAATTTGATGAGGGCATCAAATAGCTTATTTTCATTTTTGAATTTTCTCTTGTAACAATGGAAGTGTTCAATTTTCTCTGAGGCGGTCAACTAACTATATCAAGAAATAACAAAAGGAAGAATGAAAACACTCACCTAACTATATGTGGATGAACATTACAAGACAAACTAATATTTAAAACACCAACAATGCCCAAACGTCTTATATTCAGGAATGGAGGTAGTAAAATTTACAAAAAGAAGAAGAAGAAAAATAATACTCCCTCCGTTCCTTGACATAAGGTGTATAGATTTTTGAGAAAAAATCCGAAATATAAGGTGTATTACGTTGCATCACTTGTTTGGATATTTTTTTTAGGGATTTGATTACATTTCCTTATATTAGGCAAGGTCCTCTATTTTCTCATGTCAATTAGTCAGGTGTAATCTTGCCCAAAACTTGTGAAATTTACCCTCCACGTGTGTTCTTTAATTTTCGTGCCAAAAACTATACACCCTATATTCAGGAACGGAGGGAGTACACTACTTGTTGACCCACACAAATGACTAATCCTTCATGCGCCGAATTGCTTAAGCGAGCGCTCGGAGATGCAAATCCTACGTATGGATCATTGCGAGCAATATGGTAGTGCTTGCTCACGTGCAGTGGCGGAGCTTGGGACACATCTTAGGAGGGGCAAATGGGCTGGGGGGGGGGGGAACCAACATCAGATTTAGGCCAGATTTCTATGAAGCAATTTACTCATGATAATATGAACAAATCTCCTGGGCAAGGGGGCGATGGCCCAGCTTGATCTCCACTAAGCTCCGCCACTGCTCATGTGTGTTCACTGAAGGACTAGTCATCTTAGCTCTGGTATTGGGAACCCTCAACCCGGTTTTGGAAAAGTTCCGACGGTTTTTATTTGTTTCTCTGTCGTTTGTTTTGTTTATTGAATCAATTATTTTATTTCCTGTCTTATTATAATTACACCCTTTCCTTTTTCCCTCTTATTTTTTTAATTTATAAACATTTTAGAATTTGTGATAATTTTAAAATTCATGCATGTTTATTAAATTTGTGAACATATTCCAATTTTGAAATATTTTCTAACTTCATGAATTTTTTAAAAGTTTGTAATTATTTTGGATCATGAATTGTCTTAAATTTTTGGATATTTTTAAATTCATGAACATATTTTTAAAAAAATTGTTTTTTCTATATTTTCCATATTGATGAGAAGTTTGTTGAAATTTACGAATATATCAAAATCCACGGATATTTTTTTAATTCATACATTTATTAAATCCATGAACATTTTTTAAATTAAGATAAAACCGCTGAAGTAAGAAAACCGGCCGAAACACATAAAAGTCAGAAAATAGGATGAAACAAAAACGTTTAGAAGTGTTGGCAAAGAGGAATTGCTCAGCCAGCCTGGTGTTAAGTCAATGGCCTGGTGTGATGCTGGGCCTGACATGTGGTCGTGCACGGCCTAGTGTGTTGCTGGGCCTGACATGTGGTCGTGCACGGCCTAGTGTGTTGCTGGGCCTGACATGTGGTCGTGCACGGCCTGGTGTGATTCAGAGCGGCCCTCATCGAAAATAAAAATAAAAAATTGCGTCTGCCGGGAGGCGAACCCGGGTCTATTGCTTGGAAGGCAATTATCCTAACCGTTGGACTACAGACGCAATGATGCTACCAAGTAAGATGCAATTCTCTTTATCAGAGTGATTCTTGTTTTTCACTAGCATGAATCAGCTAATCTTTTTTGCACTTACGGTGCACATACACAAACATAGCAAACACAGAAAACAACTGATGCCCTCATCAACTAAGATTTCGCCACTCTTGTCGTGAATTTGCTTTAGGAACTACTCCTTCTGTTTCAAAATAGATGACTCAACTTTGTACTAACTTCAGTACAAAGTTATTTAAAATTGAGTCATTTATTTTGAAACGGAGGGAGTACTACGATAATGCTCAGATTTTTCTAAGGTGGTCAACTACTCGTAAGAAAAAAATAGGGAAGAGAGCAAACAACATGCAGGCGAGGCAGACAGCCTAACTCAACAATCACCTCACAGTTTTTCCTAGTCGAGCATATTTTTAGGACTAGCTGCTGCGTTGACAGCCTAACCAAAAAGCGTTTTTGCTTGCTGCAGAAAGGCACTCAACTGCCTCGGAGACATGTTGCTTATCATCAGGACCGATGCCACGACGCAGCCCAAGCCTAGCAGCAGTAGCGGATCGATGAAACAGCGAGGACACACTGTCCCAGATTAATTAAATCTCCATGTATGTTTCTTGCTTGCTTACCGATGGTTCCATGAAAAGGCAGCTCGACTTCTCATGTCTGCATGAAAAGGTAGACCAGCTCAGCTCAGCTCAGCTGACTAACCAAGGTGAAGTAGTAGTAGTAAACTACTAGCTCAAGCCCAAAGGAGAAATGCTCAGTCTACATGGATGATTTCGTGCTTGAAGACGCACTGTCCGTTGCCCTGACACTCGTGCCAAAGACCCACCGGTCAGATGTCACCACTCACAACAACTCGGCCCGCCTTCTGTTGTCAGGTCACGCTGAACGAGCTTGTCCAAAACCTGAAGCAAGTGACCAGAATACGGATACAGGTAACAGCCGTGTGGTTGGCTTGTTTGGATTGTAGGGGGACAGAGGCCGAGAAATGCAGCCATCATGCTAGCAAATAATAAGGTTAGTGTGCTTTCAGTCAGTTAGTTAGCCTCGAGAGCGAGGTATGAACAACACACAGCAAATAAAGGTACCAGCAGGATTCTGCGATGAAAAGGGAACACCTCGCTGGTTCCACCGCAGCGCTGCGTTTTTCTCGTTGTTTACCAACAGATCCAAGCAGTACGGAGTACGAACCAACCTACAGCGTAAAGGAGCACTAAACATCCATCGGCAATTCAGCATTACAGTATATTCAGGCACATAATCTGCTTCGTCCTCCTTTGACCAGAGTACATCTTGAGTACTGCACGGGTCCATGATCAGAGACACAGCTGCATGCTGCAGCCAGAGGGGCCAGCGCCCGAGCATGCAGTGCCCCGGAGGTGATCCAGAGCAGAGGACCAGATGCCGATCGATCCATCATCCACGGCTTCGGTTGCAATAAGTAGGGAAAAAAAAAGAGGAAAGCGGCCAACTTATTGCGATCACCGGAGCACATCGTCATAACTCATCGGCGTTGGTAGAGTACGCCGGCCAGGCAGGCAGGCTCCCGATCCCCACTGCGCCGGTGCTAGTGGTACTGAAAAAGGCGACATCATAACGCGCAGGCGGCCCTACCATGAGATGCCGACTCGGATCGACCGATTTGCCATTCTAGTGATACAGTGACCCGCTGAAATCATCTCATCGCTGAGTGGACACACTCCTGCATTGCGGAACGGCTTTGAATGATTATACTTTTATTCCACAGCGACGGGCAATGTACAGAGGAGAGTGCCAGCGCGTGTGGGCATCAGGGTGTGTGCTGCGTCAGGAGCAACACATCGCCGAGCACTCGAATTACACTGGAGAGATTCACTCGTTCATTCACTGTAACAAAATATGGAGTGAACATGTGTGCTAGCTACCCATGCAGACGGCACGATCAAGAACTGGTGCCGGACACAATCAAGGTCGCAGGCTCCAAATGCCATGGAACATGTTCCTCAGCTTGCTCCCGCCGAGCTTCTTCACGATCTTCTTGGCGTCCGTCACGTTGGTCTCTGCAAGCTTCTCGAGGTTCCTGACATTCGTAAAAGGTTCCAGCAAATGTTGTCAGCGTCAATGCATTCAGAAGTCGAGAATTTTAGGGAGAATTTTTTTCGTCTTGATGCTGTGATTACCTCACGTGCTCCGATGACATGATCTTCCTCCGGCCGGAGTTGCTGTCCGCCAGATGCACCAGTGTCGACAGCAAGAACCGCTTCGCCGGCGAGGGCTTCTCCTCGTCGGGGCCTAGCAGCTGCAGCACCTGCGCCACGTTGCGGTCATCCTGGACGAAGCGCTTCCGGTTGCAGTGCACGGACATCATGGCGCAGAGCGCCTCCGCCGCCATCTCCCTCGTCTCCAGGGATTTGGCCGCCTGGACGATGCCCACCAGCTCCGGCATGAACCCGGCGTCCCCCATCGCCTTCTTGGTCTCCTCCGACACGTGGCACAGCCGGTGTGCTGCTTTTAGGGCGCAGTGCTGCAGCGTGGTGTCGCCGTTGCGGAGGAAGAAGAGCACGCGGTTGAGGAAGACGGCGCCGATGAGCCGGTCGATCGAGTCCGGCGACGAGAAACAGAGAGCGTCGATGGCGCGGAGCGCCACCTCCCGTGCCTTTGAGGAGCGCGGGATGCCCGGGTCCAGCGCGCGGACGAGGGACTCGGCTGTGCCTTCTTGGAGCACCACCTCCCTGGATGAGCTGTCTCCGGAGGCGATCGCCGCGAGGAGCTCCATTGCCTGGATTTGCGCCTCCTCGTCCTTGGGGCCCTGCAAGAGCGACACGAGCACCGGTACCGCCCCGGCGTCGGCCACCATGTACTTCCTTATCTCCTCAACACCCACGATGCTCATCAGCACACGGCACGCCGCGCACACGAGCTCGCCGCCGCTGGCACGGTGGTCGGAGCAGATGTTGACCAATGCCGTGACGCCGCCGTGCGCGGCGACGGCCCACGCGTTGTCGGCGTTCTCCGTGAGCTTGCTGAGCACCCGCGCCGCCCTCTCCTTGGCCGCCGTCCCGGCGCCCGTGTTAAGAACCCGGATCACCGGAGCGATGACGCCGCCGCCGACAAGGTCGCCCTTGCAAGAAGCGTCATACCCGGCGATCACCGAGATGGCGTCCAGGGCCTCTTCTTGGACGCAAGCGTCTGCGGACTCGAGCAGCCCAATGAGAAGGCCAATTCCGTCGGCGACGTCGGACACGACGACCCGCACGCACTTGTCGTCGTCGCGCAGCACCTCGTTGAGCGCGGCGGCGGCCTCCCTCCGCATCTCCGCCCCGCCGACCCGGAGCCTGGCGAAGAGGTCGCGCACGTAGAACCGCAGGTCCTCGCGGCTGGCGCCGGCGCACGGCCGCGGCACCACGAGCGCCCGCGCGCGCGTCAGCGAGCCCGAGGCGCATATCTCGTCGAGCCGCGCCAGGTGCGTGTCGAGCGTGGACGCGACGACGTCGAGGTCGCTCCGCAGCCGCAGCTTGCCGCCTCCGTAGTGCCGCCCCTGGCTCCGCGGCACCAGCTCCCGCGCCTCCCTCACCGCGCCAACGACGTCCCGTAGGAGGCCATCGAACGCCTCGTGCCTCTCCTCGCCGTCGGAGGCCGCGATGACGGTGATGTCCGCGAGGCCGGCGTGGAGCCGGTTGAACCTGTCCCTGACGAGCTGCCACTTGAGCGGGAAGAGGGAGGCGGAGAAGGAGGCAGAGATGAGCGAGTTTATGGCGTCCAGCGCCGTCGCCAGCATCCCCTGCTCGTCCTGCTCCGCTTCTTGGCTCCCCGCCTCGCCCGCCGCCGCGAATTCTCCCATTCTTCCGACGAGCTCAGCTCAGCTCACGCGCAGACCCTTACCACGTCGTCGTCAATTCCGGCCGTTGCATCGAGCAAGCAAGAAAGGGACGAGGAGCAGAACAGGCGGTGGAGCTATTACTAGTTGTGGCATGCGGAGACGGCGGGGGAGTGTGACGACTGTAACTGCAAGGTGGTGAACTGGCGATGGCTCGACTCTTGAAGGCAAGCTCGACTTCAAGGTAGTTAATGGAGTTATGGAGGCGGAGGCGGGGCCGGTGGTGGGTCCCTCGGACGTGGGCGCAGCACGAGCGCGGACTGTGGATGCAGTCGGACTCCTCTGGGGAAATGCGTCTGTGGCCGCGTGAGGAGTGAGGACGAAGGCTTGGGGATTGGTGCGCTGTGGCGGAGAAGAAGCGAAGGACGATCTACGGAAGGAATGTAAGCAGGGCCCCGGGGGTCTACGAACTAGGATCGCGTGACATGCCCAGCAATGCTACACGTACGAAAAATGCTGGGAGATGCTACTTCAAAAAAAAAAAAAACAACACGGAGATGCTACTGTAACGTGGTGCAAAATGTTGGCCAAGTTTTTTGGAGTGTCTCCAATTTTTTTTAGGAACTTCAGAGAGCTTTATTCAACGAATGCATTCACCGAACAATCAACTAAGAGGCTAGAAGGCTACCGGTCAGGAAGTAAGGGGTATTGTCTAACCAGCTCTTGGTCACATTAAACGTACAACCGCGCTTAGCATAGAGATGTGCAGGACCCATTTGCTGATCTTATTACATGTTGAATATTAAAAGAAGTAAAACTAAGAGCAAGCTCTCCAATTTCAATGAGAATTGGTGCTATCACCGATCGACCAATGTAGCGAGAATTCTAGAGGTTAACTGCAACTAAACAGTCGGTTTCCGTGATCATATGTGTGTAGCCTCATAATGTAGCGAAGATAACTCCTTCCTTGAGAGCTAGGGCCTCGGCAATGAGGGGGTCTGTGACTCCTAGGAACGACTTACACCATGCACCCTTGAATCTCGAAGAAGAGCGGCCCGACACCCCCCGCTCCAGCGTTGCCATCGTCAAGATGAACTACAGTGTCTGTATTAATCTCGATATGAAAAACATCTAGGGGTCGCCAGCCATAATCGTACAACGTCGAGGTTTGCTACCGTGGCAACTCAAGTAGAGCTAGGTCTCTCTGATCCTTCTCACTGAGCTGGTTGGATCTATCCTTTCCAGGTCATGCGTCAAGCGATTGCGAGACATCCAAACGGCCGACATCACTGCGACAATGATCGCTCTGTCGTTTTCAGGAAAACTCTAATCGCATAAGATATCCCTTGTCCATGATTGAGGACGGAGCCGTGGCACGTGTATGTCAAAGAGCAGTCGGCTTCCTCCCAAAACCAGCGGTCATGAGAGCAAAGCAGAAGGGCATGTTCCAAGTCCTCATCCATGGTGAGACAACTCTTACAGGTGTTGATTTCTCTTATGTGGCGATGCTACAAGGTGTATTCATCCTGTATGATGCCTTGCATCACACGCCACCAGAAAACCCACACTTTGGGGATTACTTTGAGTTTCCAAATAGCATTCCACATCTGTTGTTGATCCACTAAAGTACCGGTAATTTTCCCCTCGTCTAGAGCCAAACACTTTTTTTAATTCACGAGAGCTCAATACGCCGATTTAGCAGAGTAAATGCCTGATTTCTCATGTGCCCAAGCGAAAAAATCTTTGCCCCCTCCTTGCCGCAAAGGAATGTTTAATATGGTCGCCGCATCAGGGGTGATGAAAGTTTGTTTAACAAGCTCCTATCGCCATGCCCTATTTTCTCTATGGATCAAATCATTGGCAGTCTGAGCCGCCGTGTTCGCTGACCGTGATACGTCCATTTTGTATCATGTTTTCTTACTGTTATTTATAATGTTTTTATCCATAACAATGCTTTTGGAGTAATTTTAATGCCTTTTCTCTCATAATATGCAAGGTATACACAAAGAGGGAGAATTCCGGCAGCTGGAAATCTGGACCTGGAAAAGCTACGTCAGCCCACCTATTTTGCACAACTCCAAACAAGCTGAAACTTCACGGAGATTTTTTATGGATTACTTTAGGAATATAGGAGCAAATAACTACCAGAGGGGGCCCACCAGGTGGGCACAATCCACCTGGGCGCGCTAGGGAGCCCAGGCGCGCCCTGGTGGGTTGTGCTCACCCAAGCCCACCTCCGGTGCCCATCTTTTGGTATATAAGTCATTTTGACCTAGAAAAAAAAATAAGGAGAGGACTTTCAGGACGGAGCGCTGCCGTCTCGAGGCGGAACTTGGGCAGGAGCACTTTTGCCCTCCGGCGGAGCGATTCCGCCGTGGGAACATCCCACCCGAAGGGGGAAATCATCATCATCACCAACAACTCTCCCATCTTGGGGAGGGCAATCTCCATCAACATCTTCAACATCACCATCTCCTCTCAAGTCCTAGTTCATCTCTTGTGTTCAATCTTGTTACCGGAACTATAGATTGGTGCTTGTGGGTGACTAGTAGTGTTGATTACTGATGGCAACTGGAAGTACGTTGGTATTTCCCCAGAGAGGGAGGGATGATGCAACACAACGGCGGTAGGTATTTCCCTCAGTTATGAAACCAAGGTTATCGAACCAGTAGGAGAACCAAGCAACACAACGTAAACAACACCTGCACACAAATAACAACACCTCGCAACCCGATGTGTTAAAGGGGTTGTCAATCCCTTTCGGGTAACGGCGCCAGAAATTGGTGTGTGACGGTAAAAAGATTGTAATAGATTGGATAAATAGATCGCAAATAAAATAAAGTGCAACAAAGTATTTTTGGTTTAATAGATCTGAAAATAAAAGTAAGGAAAAAGTAGATCGCAAAGGCAAATATGTGAGAAATAAGACCCGGGGGCCGTAGGTTTCACTAGTGTCTTCTCTCAAGAAAAATAGCAAACGGTGGGTAAACAAATTACTGTTGGGCAATTGATAGAACTTCAAATAATTATGACGATATCCAGGCAATGATCATTACATATGCATCACGTCCAAGATTAGTAGACCGACTCCTGCCTGCAACTACTACTATTACTCCACACATCGACCGCTATTCATCATGCATCTAGTGTATTAAGTTCATGGAAAAATGGAGTAATGCAATAAGAACGATGACATGATGTAGACAAGATCCGTTTATCTATATGGCGGTAGATATAGATCTCGTCTTTTTATCCTTAGTAGCAACGATACATACGTGTCGGTTCCCTTTCTATCACTGGGATCAAGCACCGTAAGATCGAACTCACTACGGGGCACCTCTTCCCATTGCAAGATAAATAGATCGAGTTGGCCAGACAAAACCCAAATATCGGATAAGAAATACGAGGCTATAAGAGATCATGCATAAAAGAGATAAAAAAACTCAAATACTTTCATGGATATAAAAACATAGATCTGATCATAAACTCGAAGTTCATTGATCCCAACAAACACATCACAAAAAAGTTACATCATATGGACCTCCAAGAGACCATTGTATTGAGGATCAAGAGAGAGAGATGAATCCATATAGCTACTAACTAAGGACCCGAAGGTCTACAAAGAACTACTCACACATCATTGGAGAGGCACCAATGGAAGTGGTGAACCCCTCTGTGATGGTGTCTAGATTGGATCTGGTGATTCTGGACTCTGCGGCGGCTGGATGAATATTTCGTCGACTCCCCTAGGGTTCTGGGATTTTTGGGGTATTTATAGAGCAAAGAGGTGGTTCGGGGTGCACCCGAGGTGGGCACAACCCATTGGGGCACGCCAGGGCCTCCTGGCGCGCCCTGGTGGGTTGGGCCCTGAGGGAGTCCTGGACTAAGGGGTCCTCGGGCGTCCGACCTGTTAGCCATGGGCCGGACTGATCGGCTATGAAGATACGAAGACCGAAGACTGCACCCGCGTCCGGATGGGATTCTCCTTGGCGTGGAAGGCAAGCTTGGCGACCAAATATGTAGATTCCTTTCTTTGTAACCGACCTTGTGTAACCCTAGATCCTTCCGGTGTCTATATAAACCGGACGACTTAGTCCGGAGGGTAGATACATTACCATAACCATACAAGCTAGGCCTCTAGGGTTTAGCCATTACGATCTCATGGTAGATCAACTCTTGTAATACTCATATTTATCAAGATCAATCAAGCAGGACGTAGGGTATTACCTCCATAGAGAGGGCCCGGACCTGGGGAAAACATTGTGTCCCCTGTCTCCTATTACCATCGACCTTAGACGCATAGTTCGGGACACCCTACCCGATTCACCGATTTTGACACCGACATTGGTGCTTTCATTGAGAGTTCCACTGTGCTGTCGCCAAAAGGTTTGGTGGCCCCTTCAATCGTCATGACGCTGTCCAAGGAGAAACTTTCCTCCCCGGACAAATCTTTGTGTTCAGCGGCTTCGCACTGCGGCCCAATTCGTTTGGCCATCTGGAGCAGATCGAAAGCTACATCCCTGGCCATCTAGTCAGACTTGGGAGCTTGAACTACGTTGCGGACATCCGTGGAGACTTGATCTTCACTGGATTCGAGACCGCGACTACCACTCCTGGTCACCCTGAGAGACATGGCCTAAATCTGTCATCGGACTGCACCCAGGAGACAGCTCCCGTAACCGCTCTGGCTTTAGATCCGGAGGAGACTGCGCCATCCAAGGACGGGAAGCTCAACCCCGCCACGGAGGCCACAGATTCCTCGGCGTTGGAGCCGCATATAGACTTGATCTCACACGATACCTGTGCCACCGGAACTCCGGACTCGTCTCTGGCCGTAAGTTCCGAACCATGTGAGCCCGCGGACGCCAAACTTGATCGTTTATCGATCTTCGAATTCAGCGCCGCACACATCTTCCAGCATTCGCCTTTGGGCGACATGCTAAACTCATTAAAAAACATGTCCTTGAAGGAGGACTCACAACCAAACTCTATCCGGTCCGAACTAGGGGCTGACGGTGGAGAAT